TTATCCTGGCTGTTGTTCATTCTTTTAAGGTAGCAAGTTTAGCCCAGTGGCTCATCTAAAAAGGGCCCGTGTGTCTGCATCTACTGACAGACCTTAAGTAGTCTGCTGTTCTCTTGGTTTGCACCAAGGATGAGAAAGAAAAATCCTTGTACTTTCTGTCTGGGTGGCAGCCCAGGTTGAATAGGGGCTACATCAACAAAAAACCAATAAACAAACAAAAAACAAAAATAAAACAAAACAAACAAAAAGCAAAAAACCCAAACAAAAACTTTTTAACAACTTTAACAACAACAAAAAAAGCAGAAAAAATTAAAAATTAGAAACAAAAAAAAAAAAACAAAAATAAAAAATAAAAAGGGCCTGTGTGTCCCAGGGAAGGAAGTGCAGGGTGAGCCAGGAGTTGGGGGTCAGGACGGGCCTGTCTGTCTCGAGGCCACGGGCAGATACCCCAGCCTTCTGCCTCCATCTGTATGTGGGTCCAGCACTGCCAGCCCAGTTGGAAATGAAAACCCAGAAGGGTGTGTTTCTGGTGACTGGGAATCCCTGAGAGGCCTTACAGGCCTGGGAAAGCAATGAGCCTGTGCAGTCCTGGTGGTCAGGAGGGAGGAGGCCAGACCAGCATTTCCACAGGCTTCTCCCGGCGTCTGGGGGCTCAGGCCTCCCCAAAGCCCGGAGGTTAGGTCATCGAGCTCCTACATGGATGAAACATGTTGCTCCAGACCCACACTTACGCCTGAGGATGGAAACATTGGATTTCCCCTCAGGGCTTCTGATTCCTTCTCTGCTTTTCCTGTTCTGTCCAGCTGTTGTCAGAGGAGGAAGAGGCCTTTCCCAGCAGACTTCTGTCTTCCTGTGGCCCTGCCTCTGCAGACCCCCGTTCTGAGCCTCACAGAGTGTGCCCATCAGGAGAGGCCCGCAGGGCTGCCTAGGACAGTCCTTGGAACAAGGATGCACCAAATGCCCATCTATCCCCGGAAAGCCCTCAGCCTGGCCCAGCTGGGATGGCCAGTCTCCTGCCTCTGTCCAGAGCCGGCCTGGGCAGCGGCTGCATCAGGAGACGTGCATGAGAGGAGGGACCTTCCTCTCCCCACAAAGAGCTTTTTATAGTCTGGCAGCGAAGGAAAAGCTGAGCGTGGTCATTTCCCCCCCCCCCCCCCGCCTCACCCGCTGACCAGAGCCGGAGCTGGTCAGGAGTCACAGACGCGGAGGGAGAAAGTTTCACCTGCCCGGCTGCCCAGAGCTGCTCCAAGCCCAGCCGGGCCCCTGGCGCCCCGGCCTGCTGGCAGCCACAGAGCATCTGTCCTGTCCTCCTCCACTGGGTCATCGGGACCCAGGAGGAGACGGCGGGAGAGGGGTAGGGTGTTGTGGCCTGATCCCCGCAGGTGTAGGCTGCGGTGTGCTGGGCAATGTTTAACAACGGGCTCTCTGGGGTGGGGGGTGAGCCCTGACTTGTATCATTTGCCAGTGTCTTTGGGGGAGATGCTTCATAGCTGGTTTCCAGCTCCTGATGTGATGTCACTGACCAGGGTCAGGGATAGATGTGCACCATGGGCTCCCGGGAGTTGTGCAAGCCAGGTGAGGGTCCTTGTGCTGGGCCTGTGAGGGATCCAGCCTGGCCCTGCTCAGAGCACTTGAGACAGACAGGCTCTCACTGCGTGCGAGGGTGAGGCTGAGAGTTAACTTACTCACTATGACGTTAAACGGTGAAATGAGATTTATCCGGAAGCAGGAGTTCTAAGTGATGAGATTGACTCTCAGGAAACAAATGGTCTAATTGGTTGTGGGTTTGGGTTTTTTTTTTTTCTCACTGTTTGAAAAATTTATTTATCTATTTAATTTTTTGATGGAAGGACTGGGGATTGAGCCCAGGACCTCATGCATGCTAAGCACACACTCGCCCACTGAGCTACACACTACCCCCAATAAACGGTCTAATTGTGGCTGGTGTCAGACCTGTTCTGCAGTGATCTGAGGCAGAACACAAGCCATGTTCTCCTGCACAGTCACTGTGTGATACTCACTGAAAAACAAATACAAAGAGAAAGCAATTATTTTTCTTCACTATGAGAAAACCTAACCTCTGGGTATAATTCAGAATCAATTATTAAACCACTTTTTGGTAAAACAGAACATGCAGTGAAGGCAAGGAGGGTTGTTCATCTCATTTAATAGTGAATAAAATGGCACCTGACCAATCTGATGAAGACAGTAAGTCAAACTTAAATGCTCTGGCATTTGACGTTGCTGAAACTACTAATTTTATTAAGCAGCTTTTTACATTTAAAATATGCAAAAAGCAAACAAAATTTAGTGGTGAAAGTAAAATTAAATATTTAATGACATAATTAAATCTTATTAATGGTATGTTCCTTATTTTATGGATTAAATATTCACAATGATTATCACCTTTCATCTTTATTACTTAAGCAATGTGTTTTTCATAATTATTTGTTGGATATTTTCATTAACATTTGATGAGTATTAATAGTTAAAATAAAAAACAGTTTTTAATTCAGTTGTAATGGCTTTACAGTGATAATACTATATAACTGTTTATAATGTGTTCTACTGTTAATATTTAGATGACTGATTTTTGTTGCCACAGAGTGGAAACGTGGGTCCTTATGGGTGACAAATGGCAATCAACACCTTCTTCCATTATTCTTTATTATTTAATCTACTGTTCTTAATGTGGCTTCACTGTGGGAGAAATATGGATGGCAAAGTCACAACTAAAACTAATCTTGAGGTCTAATCTTATTCTTGTGTTAATAATGGCTTGCCTGTCTTTTAGAGACATCCTAATTTGTTTTCCATTTTTGCCTCACTTCCCTCACCGTTTTGGTGCATCAGAGGTTACACAGCTCCATGACATTTAAGGCTTAGTATCTGGTGGCTTCACAGATATTTCTCTTCTGGGACAAATGACCAGGGTTTTCCATCCTGGACAATGTGAAGTGAATGCATATGGTTCTGTTAATTTTCCATTCAGACAGCGATTGTGGAGAACAAACAGGAACAGGTCCAATCAACGTGCGGGCATAAAATGCATATGGCGGCCACATTGCCGTCGGCAGCACAGAAAGCTGGCCACCTCTGAGGCAGCCCAGGAGCTGTGTCTTCTCCACCTGAGGCTTCTTCCCAAACCTTCAGTGCATTTTCCCTGAGGATGACCGGCAGGAAGATAACGGCGATGCAGTCTGGTCTCCCTGCAGTCGCATTTCAAACAGTTCTGATCCAGATCCTTGCTCAGCCTTCTGTGTCGGGTGACAGCAGGCATCCGAGTGCAGACGGAGGCTGCCAATCAGAACAGGACGCCCTTTGGCTTCCCTCCGAAAGCTTTTTCCTCTTGGGCAGAAGGCATCTGCATTTTTAAAGCCACAGCCTGTTCGAAAGAGCCCTGCACCACGAAAATGTACGGGAGTGAGGATGCTTCCTAGCCATTAACAACCTATAGGAAATTTATCACTTAAGCTTACAAGAGCCCCCATGCGTTTCAGTGGCAACTACGATTTATTGAGAACCTACCTTCTGACGTGCTATTTCTGACTCTCATGAAAGCCCCATTTTAGGGACAAACGGAAGCTGGGTGTGCAGGTTGGGCACTCTAAAGTCTCACCGGTGATGATGGGCACAGCTGGGATTCAAACCCAGGTCTTCAGGCTCAAAATCCTGGGGTCTTCTCATCACCAATTGATATCACCTCCCTCGTCAGTTATTCCTCTACATGGTTACAGAGGACACAAGCTCCAGATGAATCTCATTGTTAAGAAAAGCTGAAAACACACACAGGCACAGGCGGAAGGACTAGGTCCCCCTTGCCCATGAAGCTGGTGCCTGAACCTCTGCGCAGAAGATGGGCTGGGTGTGTTCACGCCACACGTGGCCCTGGTTGGGAAATCCGATGCTCTGTTCACAGACTTCTCTCCCAGAGCACTTTTCTCTCTGGCCAAGCTGTCCTCATGTGCAATGAGAAGGGGCCAGCATTAAGTGTCCGTGGGTTCCCCAGCCCCCAACAAACAGCTGTCCTGGAATATCTGGGGGGGAGGGTAAAGCTCAACTGGGGGAGCGCATGCTCAGCACCCAAGAGGTCCTGGGTTCAATCCCCAGTACCTCCTTCAAGCAGAAATCAGTGCATTCTCTTAATAATGGACATTTGGGTTAGCTCAAGTGTGGGTTATTATGAATAAATGTTTTTGTATATATATGCATGCATCTTTTTTATAAATATGTTTTCATTTACCACCTGAGAGCAGATCTATTGGGTAGATACGTGCTAAATACATCATTTTGAAAGAGACTTCCTGAGGTATAATTTACATACCATAAATCCACTCATTTAAACAACAAAACTCTTCAGTTT